TTTTAATGAAGAATATTATCAGAAAGAAAAGATGAACGTCATCATGATTATTCTATTTTGATTTTTAGATTATTTTGCATTCATTACCATTGGATTTAGTACACCAAACACTACTAGAGTATATGCATTTGGTGTGTTTAGGAGTAGTAAAACATATAATCATAAAGGCGTGGTTGGAAGGATTTTAGCGACTAGCAAAATTAAAAGACTATTATATTGTACCTCGAAATGGACTGCAGTCTACATTTTTTTCTCGTTGTGTTATTGGATTATTATTGGACTTTTAATAGATTTACTAAGGTACATTATCATATTATTAATTTTTATGTAATTAATATTAATTTTTTTTGTTCACGGTTACTTTTCCAGAATTTTCTTATGACTTTGTTAATTCTTAATATAAAAATGACTCGCAGCGTATTACACAGAAAGAAAAATTTTATATTAAGGAATTGTAAGAATATTGTAAGACCATGTACAGATTTTTAACTTAGAACTTAGATGTTTATATTACTGTAAGATTACATGAAAATGACTCAATTGGAGTTGAAACATTTGTTTATTTTAATTGTTTTGTATTAATTTTGCTTATTTAAATTAAAATTATTTTATACGTTATTGGCTCTTTGCCTTTCTTTTATACTACCTTTTATTTATTTATATTTAATTCATATCACGATAGACTTAGATTTACGGTTGACTTTGGCGATGAAAACGGTATTAATTTTCTAGACGTCAAATTAATGATTCAAGAAGGAAGCATCATCTTCGATATATATAAAAAATCTACCAATTCGGGGAGATATTTAAATTATTTTTCGATCATTAGCACATAAAAGAGGAGTAATCATTGGGCAGTTTGATAGAATTTTACTATTGTCCCATCCTAAATTTCATGAAAAAAATATTTCGGGATTAATTCACACTCTTCTAAATAATGGCTATCACTTTCTCAAATTAAACTACACGAGGCGCATGACTTCCCATGTGAAGCGACGATTTTTTTAGTTTATAATTGTTAGTTATTTTGGTATCTGTTAGTTAGAGAATTTTTTACTATTTTTTTCGTATTGCTAAAAATGCTTCCAAAAATCTTTTTTATTTTGAGGAACCATAGTTATCATAATCGTGCCCACTACACAATAAATTACTTTAGCGGACTTTGCAAATGATTATGAGAGAAAAACAACTTTACTTATTTACTTTAAGAGGATGCTAAATTGACCATCGAACTTGATCGACGTCGATAGTACAGATTTTTAAAATTTCAAATAATAAAAGTCAATAATCTTTTTTTATAGTTCATTTCTCACATTATCATTCTGTCTCACTTAAACACATACATTTGTCCTTATTTGGCATATTGCAATGCCATCACTTGCAAGATCGAGCACCTACTGCTAAACAGAATTATCGCTATGTTTACTATTCTGAGTCTTCACTCAGCATTTGTATACACGTTATTTGCAGATCGATATAAATCTTTCTTTTTAAGCTTTTAATCTCATCAGTTTTATAAACTCACAAGAGAACACAACCAAGTGAATCTTTCCAATTTAAATGAGTTTTTAGTATGTTTTATGGACAAAAATAGGAGACACGTATTTTTTTTATACGTGCTGAGTCGCACATTAAGGGGGCGAAATCCTTCCTTGAAAAAAATCGAATTTTTTCTTTCTGAATATCGTCGAAACCATGAGAGATAGAGAAAAATGTTTTAAATAAAAGTTGAATGGTTGTAAAAATACTTCATAACTGTAACAAAGAAATTTATTTATTTGTTTATTGTATATATATATATATATATATATATATATATATATATATATATATATATATACAATAAACAAATAAATAAATTTCTTTGTTACAGTTATGAAGTATTTTTACAACCATTCAACTTTTATTTAAAACATTTTTCTCTATCTCTCATGGTTTCGACGATATTCAGAAAGAAAAAATTCGATTTTTTTCAAGGAAGGATTTCGCCCCCTTAATGTGCGACTCAGCACGTATAAAAAAAATACGTGTCTCCTATTTTTGTCCATAAAACATACTAAAAACTCATTTAAATTGGAAAGATTCACTTGGTTGTGTTCTCTTGTGAGTTTATAAAACTGATGAGATTAAAAGCTTAAAAAGAAAGATTTATATCGATCTGCAAATAACGTGTATACAAATGCTGAGTGAAGACTCAGAATAGTAAACATAGCGATAATTCTGTTTAGCAGTAGGTGCTCGATCTTGCAAGTGATGGCATTGCAATATGCCAAATAAGGACAAATGTATGTGTTTAAGTGAGACAGAATGATAATGTGAGAAATGAACTATAAAAAAAGATTATTGACTTTTATTATTTGAAATTTTAAAAATCTGTACTATCGACGTCGATCAAGTTCGATGGTCAATTTAGCATCCTCTTAAAGTAAATAAGTAAAGTTGTTTTTCTCTCATAATCATTTGCAAAGTCCGCTAAAGTAATTTATTGTGTAGTGGGCACGATTATGATAACTATGGTTCCTCAAAATAAAAAAGATTTTTGGAAGCATTTTTAGCAATACGAAAAAAATAGTAAAAAATTCTCTAACTAACAGATACCAAAATAACTAACAATTATAAACTAAAAAAATCGTCGCTTCACATGGGAAGTCATGCGCCTCGTGTAGTTTAATTTGAGAAAGATGAATTTTAAATTTGTAAACAGATTTTCTACTATTAAATTAGAATAAAATTATATACAGTAAAGTCTGTATATTTTCTCTTATACGCCAGTTGCTAAAACGGAAAGAAAAAATATCTCTATTTGTATATAGAATAGAGATAATATCAGGAGACACAATAGTGTCTCGGTGCTAAGTCAAGTACAACGATTAAACTACGTTTCTTTACGCGAGACCACGATTTTCTTAGATACCAATGAATTATTGGGAATGACATATTTGTAAAAATGACACGTGTCTATCTTTAATATTTTTAATACAACACATGATAATATACTTTTATTGGTCATATATGTAATGTTTATAATTTGCATATCTACTTTATATTGTTGATGACATTGTATTGGCGGTGCATAAAGACAAAGTGGAGAATGTTCTGGAATTGTTTAATTCATATCATGAAAGGCTAAGATTCACAGTTGACTTTGGCAATGAAAACGGCATTAATTTTTTAGACATTAAACTAATGAGACAGGAAGGAAGAATCATCTTCGATATTTATAAAAAACCTACTAATTCAGGGAAATATTTAAATTATTTTTCGAATCATCCGTTAGTACATAAAAGAGGTGTAATCATTGGGCAATTAGATAGAATATTGCTTTTATCCCATCCAAAATTTCAGGAAAAAAACATTTCTGATTTAATTCACACTCTGTTAATGAATGATTATCCTCTTAAATTCATCTTTTCAATAATAAAAAATAGAATTAAAACTTAACTTAAAAATAGAACGAATTTAGATAAAAATAGTGAGTACAACAATAATGAAAGCGACTCTAATTTTAATTTAAAGAAAGTTTTTTATAATATCATATTTAAGTAAAGTATCGGAAAAATTTTAAAAACTATCATATATTCAGGGCTTTAATATCGCTTACAAACCTATAAGTAAAATGAATAGATTTATTAAAACTGGAAAAGATCCTTCGCTTAAAGAGGACCATTGTGGAGTGATTTATAAAATAAATTGTTTAAATTGTGAGTCTTCTTATGTTGGCCAAACAAAAAGGAAATTAAAAACTCGAATAAAAGAACATAAGGCTGACATAAGAAGATCCACCTCGAAGATGTCAGTGGTTTCACGTCACCAGTTGAATGAGATGCACGAATTGGATTGAGATAATATCAGAATTTTAGACACAGAACAATCATTATTGAAAAGAAGAATTTCTGAAATGATACACATAAAAAGCCAAATAAGTAGTATCAATAAGCAAAGTGATACCGAAGGTTATGGGTATAAGGTTTGCCCGATGTTTATCTGCCTTTTCTAAAGAAAGATCTCTCTCACACTTAATAAATAATTCTAGAACAATTTAAACTTTTGACACACATATATATATATATATATAAACAGTGGTAACATATATGATATGATAAATAATAACACACAATGTCACGACAAATTTCCATCTGTGTAAGGAATGTACTTGAGATTCATCATTTTGTTGTTTAAAACAAGTAACGATTCTATTCTCATACATTTCGACTAGAAGATATTAATGATAGGTTAATTTTTTAAATTAGAATTTGGAAATTCTTGTTCTACATAATTCGCAATATGACAATTGGCGCTGCAACATTGTTGTATGATACACCTTCACATGATGAAAGAACACGTTTATACACAGTTATATTACATGACGGTTGAATTTAATGTCAGATATATATAATTCTGCGTTTTAAGAATATTGTGAATTTACTGAAGATGGCCAGATTGTGGCCGAAACGTCTAATGTTTTATTAATGTAATGATTAAATATAACAAATAATATCTTGTGCGGTGATTTTTATGCTCTTCTTTTCATAAGTTTTTAGTTTATATTATATCTAATTCGACCATAGATGAAAGTACATTATTGTTAAAAAAAAATAAAACTTTTACTTTCCGAATGAGGAAGTTGCTTCTAGAACTGCCGCGACAAGAAAAGGAAGTATTCTATTGATCGATAAGTTCCATTCGCAGGGAACTTAGTAACAGGCTGGATGACACTTCTATCAATAATAAAACCTCGATACCCTCTATAATCTATGTTATGTTTGCTGTCAAAGAAATAAATACTACTATCGTTCTATGTACAAGCTATGCGTCATAATTCGCAGAATTGTGCCACGATAATATAATGAAACTCAATTGTAGGGATGTAGTATTTGCATTATGCATAACTTGCCCGGGATCTTAAACTATATCTCGCATCAAGCGGGTGAAATAAAAGTCTAACATAAATTTCCTAAACAAAGTCAGAAACGAAGAATCTTTTTTTTGTGATTAAAACTATGAACGCCAGCTGGAGTCACCATTATGACGTCATTAAGAAAATATCATCATTGTCTGGCCAGTGGCCCTATCAGAGACCAATAATGAGATTGTTTTGTGTGATCTTGGTAACTTTGAGCACGATTTCTATGATTATTCCACAGGTAATCATTAATTTTAAATAAAAAGTGACAACTGGAATAATAAACTTTACTATTTGAATTTTTAGATAGCTAAATTTATTAGGTGTGACGGAAACTTGCAATGTATCTTTGAAACTATGACGTCCTATATGTTAACAACCGTAACATTGGTCAAATTGTATACATGTTACTTTAACCGATGTAAAGTATGTAAAATTATTTGTTTTCCGTGATATATGTACAAGAGTATGAGTGCAATATTATGTACATTAATGTTATTATTTAAGTTTAATATTAATTGTTGATACTTCTAGATGAAAATTCTCATTGATCAGTTATTCATTGATTGGAATGAATTAGAAACACCAGAAGAATACGAAATTATGAAAAAATATGCTAAGAATGGCAGAAGGTATTCCTTGGGATACTTGTGTAAGAATGAACTATGCAATTTTTGTCTTCACTTCTGACTATTTTTATTTTCTGTTTTTAAAATTATAGTTTAATTAATTAACGTTGAGTGAATGCTTTTTCTGTGTTGCAGTGTATTGCTATTTTGCTGTATATGTGTTTATGTCTGTGTCTCTCATACCACAAATATTGGATATCGTTTTACCTCTCAACGAATCTCGTCCTATACTGCCGACATATCCAGGATATTATTTCGTTGATGAGAGGAAATACTTTTTCTATATCTTTTCACATGCTATCATAGCTTGGGAAATTGCTATGACTGGAATAGTCACTCACGACTGCATGCTTCTAACTTACATCGAACATGTCTGCAGTATTTTCGCTCTAGTCGGGTAAAAATAAATTGAACTATTGAATTAGCAAAACTATTGCAAATGTCACGCATATATTGTTGCAAATATATATTTGCAGATTTCGTTTCGAACGATTAACATACAAACATAATGATGTCGTGAAAATTTTACATTTTTATACAAGTGACATGTATCACAAACGAATTGCGTTTTTCGTGTATACGCATCGGAAGGCATTAAAGTAAGTAGCGTGTGTACAATTTAATGACCAACCGTCCCAAATTTCAACTTTTTCTTCCGTTTTAAACGCGTTTAAAATTTTGTCCCAAATTATGAAAATGATTATAAATTGCTCCTTTTTTAAGTGTAAAAATAATAAATGTAGAATAAACAAAAATAATAAATAAAAATTATAAGTAAAAATAATAAGTAAAAATAATAATAAGTGAAAATAATCCATGTGCAATACAATTTTTTACTAATCTGTAAAGAACTTTATGATTTTTTAATTTGAAACCGAAATATTTTATTCATAAAATACATTCAGTAAAAAAGTATTGGATTGGAGGAAAAGATCTGCGGTATTTTATTAGCTCAAAATTAATGTACAATATCTTCGTTAAAAATGATCAAATTTAAAAAAAGGATTTTAAAGCTTGAAATTTCTACTTTCAAATGGTTACTATATTTTTTGAATTTATGAGTTTTATAATTCATATATATACATACACACACACACATATACAGGGTTGGCCATATTCGACGGAAAGACCTTGAACCTTATTAAATGATTTTTAAAATGTATCGCAAAAAATGTGTTTTTTTTCCCATGATTGAAAAAAAAACATCTTTCCGTCGAATATGGCCAACCCTGTATATATATATAGAAACCTACGAGCTGGAAGAAATGAAAATTTTTCTTCTCACTTTGTTAGTATGTCACGTGCCAAAAAAAATTTGCGAAAATTTTCGATTATCTATATATCGTTTAGAGTTTTTTCTACAAAATCATTTTTAAAAAATATTTCTATAATTTTTTATTCTGGAATTATTCACGAGTTAATAAAGGAGCATTCTAACTTTCATTGCTCATAACTTCATTAAAAATCATCGTACTGCAATTAAAAAAACAAATTTTTTAAATTGAAATGTTGTCTATCGAATAGTATTATATTAATTTTTAAATGCAAAATATATTGAAATTTGAGTTAAAATTCTTGTAATCATTGTGCATTAGAAAAAAAGGACAGTAATATTTCTAATTCAAATGTACATACATTACGTAACAAAATTAAAGAATCGCCTAGTTTCCATTCTGTTCGTATAGCTTCGTAAAAAATCAGTCTGATCGAAATATGTAGAATAATTACCGATTTTGAAAGTAGATATTTTAAGCTTTAAAATGTATTTTTAAAAATCTCGTTATGATCATTTTTGATAAAGTTACACTCTTTTAAATATTTACCTATTTTTGAGAATGGACTAGGTGACCCTTTAATTTTTTTACGTAGTGTATATTCTATTTTTTTTTAAATTGACAATTACATCACTTGATAGAACAACGGTTCAGTTTTAAGAATCTGTTTTATTAATTAGAGTACAATGATTTTTTACGGAGTTATGAGCAAAATCAGAATGCACTTTTATTTAAACTTGGTAACAAAAAATCGTAAAATATTTTTTTAAAACGAACTTTTCGAAAAACTTTAAGCTTTCACATCATATAGTCGAAAATTTTGCAACAAATATATTCTTTATATAATTTTGAGCTAACAACATTCCGCAGAACTTTTTCTCCAACCTAATATAATTTTAAAAAATAAAATGTAATCTCTTGTAACTTGACGTAATTTTTATTGTGATCTCATATGATGTTATACATTATATATGTTACTAGTTATTTACAAATATAATAATATGATATTGTTTATGTGTTTTGTTAATTATTATTTAAAAAATGATAATTAACTTGAAATTTATTGAAAAATTACAATAATTAATATTGAATTTTTTCAATGTTTGCTATGCCTTCTTAAGGATGTCTTCCGATTGCAGTTATACTCAATCTAAGCACATTAGTGTTCACCATTATGAACATTTTTATGAAAATTTATTTCACTTTTATATAGGATATTCCATAAGTGTTAATGTTTTTATACAAATTTTTTTATATAATATAAAATGCCTCCTGTCTTCGCTATTGCCGGTCGAAAAAATAGTGACTTTGCTACTTAAGTACTACTCAATGATTTTTTAAAATAAATACCGAAAGCCATATTCAAATAAATTTCATATTCTTTGTGAGATCAAGTTTTATGTCTCATTGTTTCAAAAAATTGTTAAGAAGAATTTTTTTACAGTGAATAAAAAGACCACTTTCGAATAAACTTTAGATAGGGATCCTATGTATATATATATATATATATATATATATATATATATATATTTATA